GTGCCAGTGCTTTGGGAAGCTGAGGTGGGAGAATTGCCAGGAATTGCAGCCACAGTGCCTGCAAGCTGGTGTATGTATGTGTGTGTGTTTAAAATATAACACTTATTAGTTTTATTTTTTATTTTTTTCCTGATTATAGGGGCATTACACAATTATTGCAGAGAACTTGGAAAATTTGGGTTAAAAAAAGGAAAATGGAATCATCTGTAATCTCATTGCCCTGATATACCCTTTTTGGTGTATTTTTTTGTCTCTGTATAAAAATATGTACATGCATGTGCACATGCATACACATACACAGGTTTTTTTAAAATACTAAAATTAGGATCACATTGTACACATGTGCTCATTAAGAAAAAAATCAAAGATGTTAGCATTTTGGTCTATATATTTGCATATCGTGGAGTTTTAAATTAATATATGTAGCTCTATCACATTCTTCACCCAATTTTTTATTTGAAAAGATTTCATTTCAAAAGAAAATCATAAGATTCTAATAACAATAAATGTCTATTAATATAAAACCTTTTACTCTGAATTCATTAGCTATTAGTTAGCATTTTACCACATTTGCACACACCTATGTTCTCTCTCTCCCGTCTCACATCTCTTTTTTCTTCCTGAACCATTTGAAAATACACTGCTTCATGATGCTTTACCCCTAAGTATTTTAGCATGTAGTTCCTAAAGCCAAGAGTCAAAAACGTTCCTTTATCTAACCACAGTACCATTATATCATTTGATGTTACTACAATCATATTATCTAATATGTAGTCTATATTCAAATTTCCCCAGTTGACCCCAGAATGACCATTATAGCTCTTTTTCCCACAATCCAGAATTCAGTAAAGACCATATATTGCATTTGGTTAGCTTACGTTTTTTCTTTCTTTAGTCTAGCTTAGTTCTCAACTGAAGGGCAGTTTTGCTTCCCAAGGGACATTTGTCAGTATCTGGAAACATTTTTGGCAATAATCCTCACAATTGGGGTATTATTCTAGTGGGTCAAGGCCAGGGACACTGCAAACTTCCTAGTGCACAGAACAACCCTCTCACAAAGAATGCCAATAGGTGTTGAGGTTGAAAAACCCTGGTCTAGGATAATTCTCTTGCTGTTTTTCTTTTTCCTGACTTTGACTTTTTTTTTTTTGACAAACCCAGTGTAGTTTCCTATAGAATGCCCCACAGTCTGGATTTACATAATTGTTTTCTTTTTATTTAGATTATTGGTTTTCAAATTTGGCTGTACATTAGAACCTGCTTCAGAAGATTTTAAAAATCCAAATGCCCAGGCATCATCCCCATTCCAGTTAGATCACAGTGTCTAGGGAAGCATAACTCTTTAGAAAAACAATAACAGCCAGGCTCGGTGGCTCAGCCTGTAATCCCGCGCCTTTGGGAGGCTGAGGTGAGTGGATTGCCTGAGCCCGTGGGTTCGAGACCCGCCTGGGCAGCGAGACCTCATCTCTACAGTAAATCAAAAAATCAGCCGGGCGTGGTAGCACATGCCTGTAATTCCGGCTACTCGGAAGGCTGAGGCGGAAGGATCGCTGGAGCCCAGCAGGCGAGGCTGCACTGACCGGGAGCGGCCACTGCACTACAGTCTGGGCGACAGTTAATTTACTTAGGATAGATTTTTGAAAGGAAATTTGTTAGAATAAAGACTGTATACACAGTTACAAATTCAGTATGCATTGCCACTTATTTGCCCTGTGTTCTCCATATTTTTCCTTTTAAAAAAATTTACACACAAAATGATTTATGCTCTATTTACTTATTTCTATGAAACACCACAGACTAAATTATTGCTGGTGACTTGATAGTCAAAACGATACCTCATTGTTTAATGTGTTTTCTTGCTTTATTGTGGTTATTGTAATTTTCAATGGAACATAGAGGCTAGGGTAAATAGTACTTATGTCCTGGCATACCAATTCTAGTCTGCCAACAGTGTGGGTACTCTTAGTCTAGTCAGGAATTGGGTGTTACTGTAATTACCCCTCGTATACCGCAGACTTCAAATTCCTCTGGCAGACAGTGGGCTTAGTGTGGAACCTGAAGTGCTGGACGATTTTTCTCAGAGTGCTGATCTCTTCTCAGCTGTCATGAGCCCTGTACTGGAGGAGACTCTCTCTCCACACTTGCCCCTCCCAGAGCAGCAGGCTGTTCTTGCATGTTACTCCTTGAAGGGCATGAGGTCTGGTGAGGGGTTCTCTTGGTCTAGCTCAGTGTTAGGTGGGGGCTTTCTCAGGGTTCCTGTTCCATTACCTCCCATGGCAGGCAGACTCTATCTTGTATCTGTGAGAGGTCTTGGCAAAGAGTATTTGGCTTCTCCCCCAGTTGTGGCAGAACTATGCTTATATCAGTACAGGATCTTGGGCTGAATAGATTTCTTGCCCCTTCCCCAAGGGCAGAATGCTGTTTCATTTTACTTGGTGCAAGACTTTAGTGGGGAGACATGGGAAAGTAAGAGGTTTATTGCCCCTCCTTTAAGGGCATACAGCTTTTGCTCCTACCTACCCTGCCCCCATCGGTAATTTACCTTTACCTGCAATAGGGGACTCTTGCCTTTCTGCCATCTTCTTCAGGCCTTTGCTGTGGATTTCAAGATACAGGTTTGGGAGGTGGATGGGCTTCCATGTCCATACCACCAATGAGGTCTCTCTCAGGTTTTCTACCTTACCTCCAGTGGTTTCTCCAAGGCTCCCAGCAGAGGCCACTGGCAAGAACTCATGAGTAAATGTCAACTAAAAGAATGTTAAGGGGATTCCTGAGATTTTGAACTGTTGGGTAAACCCAAATTATCTCCTTAAAAGTTTGTTACAAGTGTAACTGTTTTCTTCCTACCTGCTTTTTTTCTTTTCTTTTCTTTTTTTTTGGGGGGGGGCAGACATACCCTTTCTCCTGTGTTCTGCCAAAGGGGCAACAATTCAGGTGTCCTGTTTATCCCCGGAAGGGCTAGGCTCTGGAATGCAGTCAGTAGTGGGCTGGAGCTGGCTTGCACTGGCTGTTGAGATCTGGTTCCATGTCTCTCCCCACCCCTGCATTCAGCAACATGACATTGGTGACTTGAAAATGTCCATGCTGGGTACATTTACATCACAGAAATTGGCAAATGCTTTAAATCAGCACTCTTTGTTTCCTAAGGAGAACCGGTTATTAAACATACACCCCAGCACATCACTGAATTCAGTTTACCAGATTGCCTCAGCACATTAACTCTCTAAGCCCAAGAAAAGGAACATTTTTGTAGATCATCTGGCTTTTTCTGGTTAGTGTGGGAGCAGTATTCGTTTGAATTTTCTACCTACTAAGCAGAAGTGGAATTCAGTGTTTGTTTGTTTGTTTGTTTTGATAACTAGTGAAGTAGAAGTGTTTATTCAAGTTTATTAGCCATTAGAATTCCTTCTTTATGGAAAGGTGATGTTGAAAGGCAAAGCATATAATGGATGGCAGAGTTTGGAAGAGGAGTGTCTCCAGAGAGATCAGGATGAGCTATGAGATTAAAAGACAAGGAAAACTTATTCTCTGTGAATGAAGTAGAATTCCCTACAGAGTCTAGCATCTTCAATGTATGAGAGAGTCTAACAGGAAAAATCAGAACGTGTCAGAGTGTAAAACCCTTTGTTATGGAGTCCCAGAGGGAACGTTTGACCTCAACCCGAACCATACAGTGAGTCCCTAGGGTCTACACCCCCACCACCTCCACTGTGCAGCACTGTGCAGCAGGGAAAGAGGTGGAAATGCGTATGCTGTTGAAACTAATTGCTTTCTTATGATGCCTAATGGGTCCTCAGGCAGAATTTTGTTAATGGATGAACTTGGGACATCTGCCATGGAGTTAACATGTCTACAGAGTGACAAGAAAAGACTAATGGGAATGCGTTTGTAATTTGTATAGTTTATTTTGTGTGGTAGATCTGACCTATCTCCATTATAGAACGTTCTTTTTTGCCTGATTATAATAATGTTAAATTTTAAGTGCCTGCTTTGTAATTTTACTGTGACAGATTTTAAATTCTGGTCTAATATTCTTCTCACTATACCTCAGTCTACCCAGAGTAGAACTCAAGAAATGCAAATTTATTTTATCATTAAGTTAGCTAAACATTAGGAATTCAAATATGTTGTTACAAAATTAAGCCCTTCCAGTTCAGTTGAGAATAATTTTTGTGCTGTTTTTTGTGCCATTTATTTTCCTTCTTTATTCTGAACTCCTTATGGAACATCGGACTGTCTTGTGGGCAATATTGGGGAGTGTAAGACTCATCCATATACTCATGAACTTTAAAAGGTACACACACAATATTGCCACAGTGTTAGTATTACAGAGGAGTGTCACAAAAGGACAGGAACCATATTTTTTTTGTTTTTAATTTTTTATTTTAAAGATGTGAGGCACAGTTCAGGGTTAGATATACAAATGTTTATTATGCAGGTACCCTTGTTGATGAGGTATGCCCCCCACCCCACCCCCATTGGCAGGTTCCCACTATTGCCAATCCTGCCTCCCCTCCTACCCACCCCTCCCCCTGCCCTGGCAATTTTCTGCTACTGCCAATCCTTTTCTTATAGTATTACAGTAATTGTTCAAGATCCATTTATGAGTGAGAACATGTGATATTCAGTTCTTTGTGTCTGCGATAGACCACTCAGTATTATAGACTCTAAGTCCGTCCAAGTTGCTGCGAAGTTCATAATTTTGTCTTTATGACTATGTAATTTCCTGTGTATTTTCCTTCTTTAGCAGGAAACAACAATGTGAACTGTGCTTCTGTATACCTCTTAGGTAGCTTTTTTGTAAACTGTTTCTCAAGTCAAACGTAGCCTCTCTCTTTCCAATTCTAACAGGTACACAATAAAAGGCATCAGGAACCTGATTTTCTATGAACTGCCAACATACCCACACTTCTACAGTGAAATCTGTAATATGCTGAGAGCCATCAACAGAGGAGAAGAAGCCACGTGGACCTGCACTGTCCTCTATTCCAAGTACGATGCCCAGAGATTGGCTGCTGTGGTTGGTGTGGAGCGGGCGGCACAGATGCTGCAGTCCAAGAAGAATGTCCACCTCTTTATTACTGGAGAAAAATGACATTTTGTTGAACGGAAAATGGTGTTTGACGTGATACATAACACTTGATTCTATGCCACTTGGACCCAATTCTGTTTACTTTTTCAGGAGAGGAATCAATAGAAAGAAAGAGCATGAGGCAACATCAGTATTTGATACTTCTTTCTTTTCAGGTTATGTGTTTCTGAAAAGTTAAATGTAAGCCAAACTTTGGTAAAATCACATCATTCAGAGGTCAAGAGGGGGCTAGAAGGACTCCAAGAAATTGACAGAAGAGCCCGTCCACTTGTGAATCTTTTTGTGAGCCATAAATTTTTTTATGATTTTACTTGTAATTTATTACACTTGGAAACTTCTTTCAGACTTGCCTATTTGCTTGACACTTTTCTTGAAGGAAGGCATACAGATCATTGCTTGTGAGAACTGGTTATGAGAATTTGGAATACTTCTTGTTGCTGCTTGTCATCTTAATTTTGTATGGCACAGATTTTGCAAAACTGTTATATTCCCCCAGCCAACCTTTTTTTAAACCTTAAATTATTCTACTTTACTCTAACCTTGAAGTGTACATTCTTTCACTGATCTTTTCAAAACTCATAATAGTAAATATTTTAGTCAAAATACACATTTAAATGTATAAAATAACATCAATTTCTACTCTTCAAGAAATAATTTTGTTGAAATTTGATGCTGAAATATTCACCCTCAACATCAGTGTTTTTATAATTACTATAGTCAGTTTTTGACTCATATAACAGATAAAAATGAACAGGAAATTGCACTTTTTGAAACATTTTTATTTTGAAGCATTCTCAAACAGAGAAATTACAAGTAGAAAACCTGAACCATTTAAGAATAAGTTGCCAACCCATTGGGCCTGTCACCCCCAAATACTTTGGAATATTGTGTTTATTTTCTATAAACAAGTATATCATTCTATGTAACCACTAAATAGCCATCAAAATAAGGAAATTGCCATTAATACCTTATTGCCATCTAATCTTTGGACCCCATTCATGTTTTGCCAGATGTCTCAGTGATGTTCTTTACAGCCAAAGGATATAGTTTAGAATTATATATTGCCTTTAGTTGTGATGTGTGTTTTAGCATCCTTTATTTTGGAATTGTACCTCAGCTTTTGATTGGCTTTCTTGACCTTGACACTTTTGAAGATCACAGGTTAGTTATTTTGTAGGATGATGTCTCCTTGTCACTAGATTCAGGTTTTGCTTCTTGGACAGGAACATCATAGAAATGATGCTGTTGCTGTGTCCTTCACACAGCATCCCATCAGATGGCACACAGTTTGCCCATCACTCCTGACATTAACTTTGGCTACTGGTTCAAGGTGGTGTTTGCCAGTTTTACACTAGAAAGTGACGGGTTTTTTTTTTTCTTACTTCAAGTATTAATTTATACAGATTGAGCATCCCTGATCCTGAAATCTGAAATGTTCCAAATGCTGAAACTTTTTGAGTACCGACATAATGCGTAAAGGATGTGGTCATTGGAGCATTTTGGATTTTTAGATTATTTATATTGAACTGGTAAGTATAATGCAAATATTCAAAACCAGAAACTGAAACACTTCTGATCTAAAGCATTTTGGGTAAGAGGTATTCAGCCTGTACCAGTGTGGATTTACTGTTTCTTCTTTATTCAGTGGGTTACATTTGTTACTATCATTATTTCTTCAGATACTTAACTAGTGTCAGATACAGCCAAAGAGAGTACCTTCAAGCTGGCTCATGTGTCCTTTTAACGTGTCCCCCTTTTACTTGGGCATTGTTGTGTTTTCTCACAATAGGCCATTCCAGGTTTCTCTACTCCAGCCCTGCTTTCTTTTAGTAGAGAATTATTTTAAAAGCTAAAATTTGAGTGCTAGGTGTGCTTACTATTGTGGTGTCATCCATCCCAGGCCATCTTGACTCTTAAATGTGTGTATATCTATACACACATGTGCACATACTGACATCTGAATTTCATTCTGTATTCATATATTGAAAACCATGAATTCACATGAATACCTCCAGTTCTTGTCTGACACTACAGGGTTCCTTATAGTTTTCTTTCTTCCCATATTCGTAACTCCTTGCTCAGACGGCAGCTCCCATTATCCTCAACGTAACAACCATAATTGGTACAGATTTTCTGATAATTAGACACACTTAAAATTGTATATCAAAAAAGTGTGAAATCACTTTTGAGGCATTATTTTGCTAAATATTTGAGTAGATATTTTTACTTTACTCAGCATGGTAAAAACCATCTATTCCATATATAGGTGGGCTCCAAAATTTCAGAAAGTTACATTGATTAAAAAAAGCCAACTGAACCCATGCTACAAATAACTTGTTATAGCTATAGATGTGGACAGTAGTTATTGGCATATTTGTCCTGCTGGTTACTACAGATCCTATATATTATGAGGAAAAAAAAAAGTGTGCATTCCTAGATCAGAAATAGGAGGTGAAGAATATGTTTTCATATTCTTTTGTCTGTGAATTGTAGCTCATCTCATGGATTTCATTATTACTATTCACAAGACCCCCAGATCTCCAACTTCTCTGGCCCTCTTCCTCTTACCAGGGAGCCTGGATTTCAAATCCATGATGTAGCCCCAGAAATACACATTTTATTAAGCATTCCTGGTGACTTTCTTGCTGGCTTGGGGCCAAACCCAACCAACTGCTTCTTGCCTGCAGAGAACATTGAGGATTTCAAAGTGTGAAAAAAGTAGTGTTGCTTTGTTCCTGACAAGCCCCTGGAGAAGGCCCTGGCTCCTGAGTGCGTTGCAAAAGTTGAATCTCTAGATTGGTTTCATTAAAAGTATGTCTTAACATTCAGTCTCTCTTATCCACACACAATAAGGGAGGAAGGAGAGGCTATAGAATATGGATTCACGAACTGGACTTAACACACTATCTTGATATTTGTTAGCATGGCTCATTTGCAGCAAACAAGTACCTATACAGTGACTGGAATATAGACAAAGGAATTATAACTTATCTAGCAAGTAAGACTTTTAAACTTCTTTCTCCATAGTAATAACAACTAGCTTAGCACTTTTATTTTCGAAGGGGAAAAGGCTTTGAATTGTGAATGCTTCTCACAGCTGGCTGCACCATGTGCAATATTCAAAAAACAAGAACAAGCTAATCATAGAGAACCAGCAGCAGCTAAACAGCCCTCTGCTGGCTTCCAAAGGACTTATAATTGAGTGCAGATGGCCCTGGCGGGGATGGGGTGTGTATCCCTGCTGACTCCTCACACCCCAGAGGACCAAGGGGGGCTTCTGAAGGCTCTCAATCCTGATTGTGTCCTCATGGGGGCAAGGAGCCAGGCTGCTGAGGGAGGGGAGGGAGAGGCATGTGGTGCCAGAGCCTGCTGGCCGCCTTCTGCCCAGCCTTCGCAAGGCCACACAAGCAGATCTTCAGGCTGCCAGTGTTTAGATTTGATGAGTCTTGGGTCTCAAGATTACAGAAGGCCTGGGGTGAGGGAGTCAGAGTTGCAAGTTCTTTATAATTGTCTGAAGAGCCTCATTATGCAGTCTGCAGGTGGCTGTGAGGTGCCAGAAGCTGCCTAGAAGAAGGATGTCATGGAAACATGGAGACTGCTCCTTTTGGGGCCTCCTCCTCCGAGGCAATAGGGCCTTTACTGCTAGTCCTCTCTCCCGGTCTCCCTTCTCTCCCTCCACTTTGCCAATTTATTTCTCTTATTTCTGTATGGCAGTAATCCTCATCTCTTCAGACTTCTCATTTTAAAAAGCTTTTCTGGAAACCTAGCTACATGAAGTTTTAAGTAAATTCCAGTCACATTTTAATTATAGAGTCAGTGAATGGGAGGAGACACAGAGGTAATCCAAAGTTGATGTAATCTTTGGAAAGTGAAAGAGAGGAGAACTTTCCTCCCAAGTAAACCCCACCATGTTCAACTGATGGGGGAAAATGTGTTTCTAAAAACTCCTATTTCTTCCTCTTTTACCATATACTCTAACTGCAATACAATTTTGTGCATGTTATGTCTTATTTCTAAAGCTAAACACATTCCTAACCATCAAGTTTGTTTTGTTTCTTTTCCCCTTCTATGAAAACTTTTTCAGATGTGGAAAGGAGTTACCTCTGCTTGCATTGCCAGTGGTTTAGGCTAAGTCCTGGGTTTCCCTTATACCTCTGGCTACATCACCTTATTCTGATGGGAGGTAAGAGCTTGAGAACGAACACAGCTCCAGGCCATTTTCAAAACCAATGGACTGGTTTCTCAATAGTTGGAGCCGAATGTTCAAAAGGAGTGAGGACTAAGATCTGTTGCACAAAGAAATCTGAGCTTGCCCCTGGTGGGCAGCTTAACCCAGGCGTCCCCTCACTGCTTAGAGGAACAGTTCTTCCTGCTTATCCTTAAAATCAACAAGGGATGGCACATTCCTAGGTGCTTCTGCCCTAGCTGCCATGGCCTTTAGTCTTGGGCCTCTGCAGCTGGCTGTGAGCAGGTGGGAAGTGAAGCCTGAGCTGATCCAGAGAGGGAAGGAAGGCAGTCTGCCGCTTGGCTGATTTGGAAGCTGCGCTGAATTCTGTCCATCTGTTCTCCCAGCTGAGCCAAGGCCAAAGCTGTCTACCTTTTGCCAACCCAGGAGTGACACAGAGCCCCATCACTGAGGCTTCTGCCCCAGTCGTCCTCACTGACCTCTGCAGCCCTTCTCATCTGCCAGTTGGACTCCCCAGGGAGAATTGGCCTTGGGCTCACAGCTGGTGTTTGTCCACAGATGTTCATGGGTTTGTCTTTGTGTTCTCTCATTTTTCAAAGCTACCCTTCAGCTGGATGTTGGGACCAGTATCACTACTGATATTCTGTGGCCACTTCTCAGTTTTCTCATTTTTATAAAGTAGTGAATAATTCCCACTGTCCTTATAGAGGGAAAGGGGAACCGACTGCTTTTGTTTGTACCAGAATCCTGGGGTTTAATGGGGTGACAGAGTACTCAGGGAAAACACTACACTTTCCAGCCCCCACCTCTCCCTTGTAGTAAGACATGGCAGTGACTGACACCTAAGCACTAACTATTGGGCAGGACTTCTAGGAGAGTTCTTTCAAACGGAAACACCCCTTTTACCTCTTGTTCTTCCCCCTTTCATGCCTGGAACATAGATGTGATGGCTGAAGCTTCCGAGCCTGGAGACTGCACAGAGGGTGGCCCAGAAAGAAGGAACCTGGTCTCTGGAGCTGACATACCAGTTCTGCTCAGTATCCATTTGCATTCCTCATATGTAAATGCAAACCCCTAATTTGTTTAAGCCACTGAGGCGAGCCTCTATTACTAGCAGTTTCTAACTGATACAGAAGACAAAAATGGCCTCACAGACTCCTGT